TTACATTATTACATTACAATATAATACATTATTACATTACATTATATTACATTATTTTATTACTCTTTCAAATGAAATTGGCTTTGAGTTTGGTCCATAGCATCATAAGAATTGAGCAAGCTTAAGTATATAATAGTAATCTGCATCATGATGTTAATGCAAAACATCTGTAAACCGTTAATGACACTTATATTACAGGGAAATGCACTTTTTGAACGTATATTTATGTGGAAATCTATCTATATATGTGTGTGTATGTATGCGTGTGGTTAAAAACCCGTTAAACTTCAAATTCTTCAAACAAGTTTACCAGGGTCCTTGTGAACCCACTTCAAATTTACTATATTAGCTTTCACGTGTTAGAACATCATGAAACAACTGTATTCCGGAAAACTTCCGCAACTACATTCTATGCAATGCGATTTAATTTTACTTAAAATTCCGAACGCTTTTTATGAGTATAAATATTTATATAAACATATTAGTACGACACATAAAAACGGTCCACAGATTATCGAAAAGTAGCAAGCTTTAGTTTCATCAGTTTTAAGTGTTACAAGAACGTGCGAAACGATCTTATTTACATTAGACACTTGATCTACTATAAAGCTTTAACCTCAACCCTGCTTTTGTATAATCTGTAGAGCTAAAACTTCATTTCAGTAAAACAGTACAGAAAATTGTTCTTTTTTCAGAATTACTTCAGAGATGCATGTTTATCGACGTTATTACTGAGGCGTAGGTATATATATCGCAATTTAGAGGATACTCAGTCACAGTCAGGCATCATATACTGGAAGACATTCAGTCACAGTCAGTCATTATATTCTGGAAGATATTCAGTCACAGTCAGTCATCATATACTGGAAGGTACTCAGTCACAGTCAGGCATCATATGCTGGAAGGTACTCAGTCACAGTCAGGAAACACATACTGGAAGATATTCAGTCATAGTGAGGCATCATATGCTGGAAGGTACTTAGTCACAGTCAGGCATCATATACTGGAAGGTACTCGGTCACAGTCAGGCATCATATGCTGGAAGGTACTCAGTCACAGTGAAGCATCATATCCTGGAAGGTACTCGGTCACAGTCAGGCATCATATACTGGAAGTTACTCGGTCACAGTCAGGCATCATATACTGGAAGGTACTCGGTCACAGTCAGGCATCATATGCTGGAAGGTACTCAGTCACAGTCAGGCATCATATACTGGAAGGTACTCGGTCACAGTCAGGCATCATATGTTGGAAGGTACTCAGTCACAGTGAAGCATCATATCTTGGAAGGTACTCAGTCACATTTAGCCGTCGCACGCTGCAAGATTATCAATGACAATCAGAAGTTATGTGTTTGAGAATATTTACAGTAAGACATCATATATTAGAGACTATTCAGTCGCGGGTCGTAAATTATGTGCTTGCAAAAGCTTACTTAAAGATTCAGACGCCAAAAATAGACAGTTTCTAGTTTATAGAAACACATCTGTTTTTGAATATAATGACATTCAATTTCTGTTAGAGTGTTACTTCGCATATCAAAATACTCATCCGCAGTCATTCATCGCATGCGCATAGATACTCAATAACATTCAAACACTGCATGTTACAGCACACATGGTTGCTTTCATATTTCACAAATGTTAAGGACAACACACAGTACTGTGAAGTTAGAAATTTTTTGGGAGAGGTGAAAATGAAGATCGAGAGGGACTCGAGCCCATGCCTCTTCTTACCGGCAATGATTAGAGTTTGATCTTTACTGGTCAGTTATGATAGTTGAAGAGTCTCGCTCCTCCCTGATAGCCAATAAAGTGGAAATTGGCATTAGTGGCATTCGAGAGGAGTTAGCTTATTTTCATGAACAGGGTCTCGGGTTTGAATTCCGCCCGTCTTAAATTTTCTCACCTTTCAATGTCTTCATTCGTGCCTAATACTAAATATAGTTATCGAGTGTAAAGGCACTTATTTATAAATATATATATCGCAGGTTTGAAGTTATTCATTTACTATGATACATCAAATATTTGAAGATACTATTACAGTCGTACACTACAAGGTAAAGCGTCCAATTACACTCATACATCTAAATTTTGAAGTATCTCCTCGGTGGCTCAGCAGTAAGCTCGAGCGCTTATAACTGTAAAATTCAGAATTCGTTATCCCATTGTGAAGTTCTTCGCTTGAACCAAAAACATCTACTGCGCTTGCGTGGTATCTGATGCAAATTAAGTTAAAAATAACTACGTGGTGAATGACCGTGATGTTGTTCATGTCAACACCTCTTAATTTTTGCCAATGCTGAAGATTGACAAAGTCTTCGTGTGAATAACGCAATCTTTTCTCACCTGAACAGGTACCGAAACTGAATTAATAGCCAACACCTAGAGTACTGTCTTTTTTTTTTTTGCAAATATAAAATGTGTGAAAATTTATAAATTTAATTCTTGAAAAAAAAAGCAAACAAATTCTTTAAAAGTAAAGCAAGTATGTTTGTTAGTTCGTGGTTGAGCAAAAAGATACACAAGGGACTATCTGTACTCTGCCCATCGTGAATATCGAAACCCAACTTTTAGCGTTATAAGCCTCCCTTACTTACCACTGCGCCACCAGAGGGAGTAACAAGCATGTATAGAAGAGTGCACTATAACGTTAAGAAATCATTACGAACTCTATTGCAGGTTCTCCAAAAAAAACTACTTCTTGCGTATAGATTACGACACGTAGAAGTTCATTCTTACTTTTCTGAAAGTGTATGTTGTGTTTGTAACCATACGTATTTCCATTCTGAACTATGTATGTTGGGTTTGTAAACGTACGTATGTCCATTCTGAACTATGTATGTTGTGTTTGTAACAGTACGTATGTCCATTCTGAACTATGTATGTTGTGTTTGTAACAGTACGTATGCCCATTCTGAACTATGTATGTTGTGTTTGTAACAGTACGTATGGCCATTCTGAACTATGTATGTTGTGTTTGTAACAGTACGTATGTCCATTCTGAACTATGTATGTTGTGTTTGTAACAGTACGTATGTCCATTCTGAACTATGTATGTTGTGTTTGTAACAGTACGTATGGCCATTCTGAACTATGTATGTTGTGTTTGTAACAGTACGTATGTCCATTCTGAACTATGTATGTTGTGTTTGTAACAGTACGTATGGCCATTCTGAACTATGTATGTTGTGTTTGTAACCGTACGTATGTCCATTATGAACTATTTTTGGGTAACATTATTACCAGGGAATCTTATCATTATATACGCTTGTATATATTAGTGAGGAATAGGGTTAAATCATTTGAACGTATAATGATTTTATTTTCTTACAGATACCATTACTACGGAATAGGAATAAGAGAAAGCAGTGAGTATTATCACACTCTGTATTCAAGCCGAGGTCTCACCAGGTACGGCATGGTCAATATTAAGTTTCGGTTTCGATAGTTTATATTTTTATTTCATAGTCGATATTTTATTATACTTTCAATTGGGCGTAATAAGCACAGTTTATTTTGCTAGAAAACGTATTGCAAGGCGTAGGACTTCAGGAGTGAGTAGTGTACTTACTTATATTCTTAAATTATTATTTTTAAAGTTCTTTATCCTAAACAGAGACACTGAGCCTTTTATAATCATATATAGATGTTGATTGTGTGACATGCAACTGAGATTTATAACTAGTACAAAAACTTGTGTGCACGTTGGTTAATTTTAAATTACTGACCAGAAAGAAGAGAGCCAGCTAGCAGCATACGCCGCCATTACAGCTTTGTGCAGTTTTGAGCCGAATAACGAGATTGATTGCTAGCTGAAAATGCAGAACATGTTTAGTAATATGTCTCGAACTTTGGACCTCTTGATCCGAAATCCAATACACTAATCAGCAGAACACGTCTGGTCTGTATGACATAGAAAGATGATTTGAAAGAAACATTTGGCAAGGCTTACGTACGTCCTAGAAAACAGAAGCTTTCAGGATTCAGCAACGGAATAATGATACTGAATTTTTTGTTTTGACAACAAGAAACATTTGCAAGGCTTACGTACGTCCAAGAAAACAGAAGCTTTCAGGATTCAGCAACGGAATAATGATACTGAATTTTTTGTTTTGACAACAAGAAACATTT